GAAGGCCACAGAGCCAGGTCGCCGGGAGGGCCCAGAGCATTGGACACCTCTTCGGAGGCAGGGTGGGGCCGCTAATTGACCACAAAGGTTTCTTCTTTGTAACCTGGGCAAAGCTAATGGCTTTACCACGGGTGGGGGGGGGGCCTGGGCCTCGGTTTCTCTGGCAAGCAGCTGAGCTAACTCCCCCCAAGTGTCCTGGGAGCATGGTTTTGTAGTCATGGAGGACTCCTGCCCCTGGACGGTGATCTGGGGCCGTCACCCCGAGGGAGAGGCAGGTGGGCGGCAGCAGCTGCGTGTGGGCAGGCTGGGGCTTCTGGCCATCAGCCCTGACAGCTGGGGGCCCCTCCTGCCCCTGAATCAGACCCTCAAGCCCGAGAGAAGGTCACAGAGATGAGAGGCCGAGCAGCTCCCACGCCCGGCGCCATGGGGAGGGAGGCTGCTTTAGGGGTCAGCTCACATTTGTGCATATTTAATGGCCCTTCCCAGGACTCCAGCAGGCTCCCCAAATCCCTCCCAGAAATACATTTGTTAAAATAAACTGAGCAAGGCCAGAGGTCGGCTCAAAATGGATCCACGCCTCGTGGGTTCAGAGATGTTCAGACAGATGGGAGCGGGAGAAGGCGGGGGCGGCTTCCCGCTGGGCAGCTTTCTGGGGCAGTGACGGTTAATCCGGGGAGGCCCGGGGCGTCCTGTCCGTGTGTCCTCTCGGCTTGTGCTTGCAGAACAGGCTGTAGAGGACCCGCAGTGTGCTCTTGGCGTCCTTGTTCACGATGTCTGCGGCCGGGAGAGGACGGGGCAGCCCGGCAGGCCCGGGCAGGGGAGGCGGTGACCAGACGCCCCAGTTTGCCAGGGCGAGGGGTTTCCTGAGCTAGCGTCGGTGCTAACTCGGGGAGCCCCTGGTCACGCCGGGCCCACCTCCCTCCCCTCCCGACCCGGCCTCCTCACTCCGCGCTCCGCGGTGCAGCACGACCCCCAGGCCTCGCCTCGCTGGACAGTCCACCCCTGGGACCTGACCCCCAGGACCTCTCCCCAGGACCCCTCCACCACAGGCAGGTGGAAACCGTGGGCACAGCGCCCCCCATAGGAAGCCTCAGCAGACACTCGTTACCCACTCACGCCGAGCAAGAGGAACACACAGACACCCTGTGACCTCACGCTGACACACGCTGGCCGCCAGGGACAGGGCTGCACTCACCTTCGGGGCTGACGGGGTGGTCGAGCAGGCCTTCGTCCCTCAGCAGCCCCAGGGCCAGAGTCACGTTGTGCAGCTACCGGGACACGATCCCATCAGATGTGGGCAGAATGAGGCAGCCCCAACCCAGGCCCCGGTCCCCACGCGCTCGGCCCACCCGCCATCCATGATGTCCGCCACGCTTCGAGGAGGCCGCCTCTAGTGGGAAGGGCTGTCACCGAGGAGGGCACCCTGCCTGGGGGTCAGCGAAGCCTTCCCGGTGCAGGGGACACCTGGAGTAAGTCCTGCCAGGGGAGGGGACTTGGCCAGGAACGGGATCGTGGGTCCATCCCAACCTCTTCCATTGCAGCCCCTGACCCTGCGGGTGACAGACCCCCCCTCACAACTGGCCGAGTTCCGTGGACTAAGCATAGACGAGGGAACCGAGGCTCCGAGTGGCCGAGGGGCTTATCCGAACACACGAGACGGAAAGTGCTGGAACCTGGTCTGTCTCACTGTCATGCCTGTGCAAAGCAGGCTGGAAGCCGGAGCTGCTGCCCCTGCTCAGGACTCCCCCACATCCGGGCCGGTCACTGCGTGACCTCTGGGTGGGGGGCCCTGGCAGCCCTCTGAGGAGGGTCACCCCCTTTCCACATCTAGTCTTTCCCTTGGCCCCAGAGAGACCCTGCCCTTCCGCGGTAGGAAGAGTGGGTATCGGGTGAAGAGGGCCAAGCGAGCTCCAAAGCTGGCCGAGCCCTCGCTTATTGTGACCTCAAGCAGGTCCTTCCGTCAACAGTCTCAGCTACCCCAAAAGTCCACGGTAGGGGCTCGACACCCCAGACTGGTGGCTAGCTATGCCAGCCACCCCGGTCTCCCCTCCGGCTTCCAACAGGCCAGGCAGTTCCCATGGCAACCCCAACAGGGTCCTGGAGGCCCGACTGGCAGAGCAGTGAATGAGCAAGACCCATGCATGGAGGCCAGCCCTGACCCGGCCACCTCCGGTCACCTCCTCGTGGGTCTGGGTAGGAGGATTCTTGAGACCTGGGTTGGATGTCTGTGCACCAACCCCCACCAGGTTGCGAATCACAAGTCAGACAAGTCACATGTCCCGGCCAGGCCTCAGTTTCCTCATCTGTACCCTGGGAATAGCCCATCTTCCAGGCTGCCTCTCCCAGGCTGCCATGTGGGTCAAAGGTGATGACGGACAAGAAATGAAGCCACAAAGCAAGATTCGAAGGTGGGATGATGAAGGCACAGCAGGGGCCTGGCCGCGGTCAGCTCGCCCTGGGAGGAAGGCTTAAAGCCCCCCAGGAAAGAGCTCTCCCTGAGGGAGAAAGGGTGTGGGTCACAGTCCTGGTTCAAGAGCCCTGGGCAGGGTCCTTCTCCCCTGGGGAGAGTTGTTAGAGCATCGAGACAGAGCAGCCGAGCTGGGGGCAGGTCCAGGATGCGAGAGAGAGCGGGGGCCAGTGGCCGGCACGGCCGGCCCCGCTACTGTCAAGAAGAAGCAAAGGCTGTCACAGGGTGCCAGTGCTCCCAGGTCGGGGGACACCTCCAAGGATGGAAGGAAATCTCAGAGGGAGCCAGCTAGAGGTCCACCACTCCTCGCTGTCACTGTGTCCCCAAATCTTCCCACCCAGCCCGGACCAGAATGTCCTGGAAAAGGAAGGTTGCATTTGTTGCTGTTTTTCTCATTCTCTGCGTGAACTCTCTTCACAGGACACACAGAAAGTAAACGTCGGGACGAGGAGCCACCGGGATGGGATGCTCGGCACCCTGCCCTCCCGCCTCGCAGCCCTGCCCGACGAAATCGCTCTGCAGGCCAGCATCTCCCGAAGCACAATCCGGGGTAGAGAGGGGAAAAGTGCCTGGGACCTAAAGGTTCTGGGAAACGTCAGCTTAGGCAGAGCAGTAGGGACTGCCGCCCCTGCAGGACTTCTCAGAGCCTTGACGATGGTATGACGGACATATCATGGACCTTCAAGACGGCGCACGTTTTCCCAAGTTACTTGACCACAGAATCCAGTTAGCACAGAGCACCTCGCGGGCCCAGTGTTTTAGAAACACTTCTTTCATTCGCTTATTTTAAAAATATTAATCGAGCAGCTGTTATGCGCCGGCCACGCAGCAGGAGCAGAAAGAGACCCACTCCCGCCCTGGGGAGTTTGTGCTTTGAGAATTGCTGCTATCGGCACTATAGAAATGGCCACACTATTCGAGACACTTCTCAACGATGCTCGGTCTGAACCAGCAGGAGCTGCCCCAGGCTCCAGAACCCTCTCACCGTGCTCTGCCCAAAATATCATTTTTTTTTTTTTTCTGTGCACGGTCTGAGACGATAAAAGTAAAACTCTCACATTCCTCGGCACTGAGGGGAGGTCACGACCCAGGAGGACGCACTGCAGCCCTCCGGGGAGAAATAATCGATGTGGGAGGGAGCAGGAGGGTCCTGGCTCCGCGTTTTCATTCCCCCCCACCCCCCCACAGACAATGGCCACCTTCCCCCCATCCCCGACTTCCCTTCCCGCAACGAAAGGCAGTCTCACAAACACGCCGCTGGCAAGGAAGGTCCGATAATGACCAACCCAATTCCGAGAGGCCGCTCTGCCAAGAAAACTGTTCCTTGGGTGTCCCGCCTTCAGAGAGGGCTGCCGTCCCCGCCCTCTTCAGCTAATGACCCCGTCAGCATTTTTATTACACATTCCTGCAGCTGAGGTTTCCGCCGATATACCATAAAAAATTCATTCCCGGGGTCTGAGCTAAGAAGCTGCTTCTTTCATCCCCCAGCAGAGACTGTGGCTCCTATTTGAAACATCTTTCTAACATCTTCAGCAAGCTGGCTGCACACGGGGACATCAGATGTCGGACGATGGGTTACAACTGGAGTGTGGTGGCAGCAAAACATTGAGCACAGATCTCGATGTCCCATGAAGCTCCAACACCCGAGTCACAGCGAGGGGACTCCCGTGCTGCCCTGGGTGTCCCCCCTTGCTTCCTCCTCCCACACCCGCACCTCGGTGTCCTGAGTCCTAGAAACGGGGCGCGCACCATGGTCTCACCCTGGCACTGACCTCCTGTGCCCCTGCACTGTCCCAGCGGCTTCAGGCAAGGCTTCTCGGCCGCACCCCTCCGCCTCTCGCGGGGCTCCCCCGGCTCCCCAGAAAGGAAACAAACGAGGAGGCAGCTCTGGCTCTGGAGCGAGACCAGCCCGCACGGCTCTCCGCCCTCCGCCCTCACTCGCTGTGTGCTCCGACCAGGTCACCGTAGCTCTCTGGGGAGGAGGAAGTGGAGGTGGCACAGCTCCTACCTCAGAGGCCCAACTCGAGGGCGCCTCGTTTACCCACAATGCCTGTGGGAGGTCACCCCGCTGGCCCTTCTCTTGCACCCACACACTTGGGAGGGCTGTCCCACCGAGGCCCGGGGCCCATCTGGCGAACAGAACGAGGTAGAAGGCACCGCGTCCCAGCTCTGCCTGGTCTCCTGTGTCCCTGCCATTGTCATGAGGAAACCACATCGGCCTCACTGCTGACCCCAGGAGGAGCATGAGATGCCCATGGCACAGAGCGGAACCCCAGCCGAACCCAGACAAGGGTCTGAGACCCAGACAAGGGATGGAGCCCAGCTGAGCCGAACTCAGCCAAACCCAGCCAAACTCAGCCCAGTTCAGCCGAACCTGGCCGAACTCAGCCGAACTCAGCCAAACAACTCAGCCGACCTGCAGATCCAGAAGAATAAACGATGGTGGGTTTTGGCCATCGGTTGCCCAGGCGATTTGTCAAGCGGCATTTCCGTGGCCGCAGCTGACCGACGCGGTGCCTAATAAAGGCCAAGAACTCTGCGCGTGTTGGCCGCTACTCCTGCCCTTCCTCCGGAACCGCGAACCCCACTGCTCCGGACCCACGTGCAGGCTCTCGGGACTCTGCGCCCTGACCCAGCCTGCGAGTCAGCAGTCCCTGCCTCTTGGGAAAGTGGAGACCGTGCCCCTGAAGATGGCATCGCCACAGAGCCCGGGGGAGAACGGCAGGCCGAGGGTCGGAGACCGGCCCCAGTGCCAGAGAAGCGGCCCTGGTGAGTCCCACAGCCTCCGCCCGGGCCCTCCCAGGGGCACGGAGACAGGATGAAACGGGGAGGGGCCGGGGAGGTGAGATGGAGGTGGTGACTCCATAAGAACGTGCGGGGAGCTGCGGCCGGCGAAATGCTGAGGAGCTTGGAGGAGATGAGAAGGGGCTCAGAGCCTACTGCTGGCTGGGCCACGAGAAAGGCCTGGGCTAAGACCCGCAGACGCTAGAGGACCAGGCCCGCGGGGGCTGCAGGGGCCACAGGGAGGACCACTCAGGGCCTGACATGCTGGAGCGCCTGAGAGGTCAGGCTCGTCTCTAGAAGCAACGGACGGGCATGGGGGGAGGGGCTAAGGAGGGGCCTGGGTGAAAGGCCCAGGTTGGGGGTGCTGGAACCGGGCCAGGGTCAAAGGTGTGGAGAATCACGGCCCCAGGCGGGCCATGACGTCTGATCCAGCCCCAGGGCCGAGGGTCCCCACCCTCCCCAGAAACATGTGGACAGAAGCCTTTCCTCATCCCAGAAGTGGTCCCGAGGCTGGTCCCGAGCTGGCCCCGGGAAAGGTCCCCAGCCCTGGCTCCCTCCTCTCCAGAAAAAGCTGCTGCTGCAGACAGATGAAGGGCTCACCCTCCTGCCCTGGTCGACGCCCAGTGGGCCACAGGGACCCTGCTGGGACAGAGGGAAGCTGGCCGCCTGGGGTCCTGGGCAGGCAGCCAGCTGCCCAGTGCACCGGCCCAGCCACACCTCCAGCGTCACCTCCTGCGGGGCTGACGGTCACTCCCAGGGGCTCTGGCTGCATCCTGGGCAGGGCGAGGGACCAAGGACCACGTACCCCTCAATACTTCTGCCTCCCTGATTCTCCAAACTCTTTCTTACTGTGTGCGCGGTGTGCGGGCTGAGCAGGGCAGGGGTGTGAGCCCACGTCGGAGACAAGAAGCCTGAGGTGCAGGCTGTGAGCTGGCAGGGGAGCGGGGACCAGCAGCCAGGCCTCTCGTCCCTCTGCCACGCCTGGCCTGGCGCAGAGCCGGTGAGCAGGGTAGGCTGCTGCGCCCTTGGGCCTCTGCTTCCTCATCGGAGTCGTGAGAATCCTCTCACCGGCAGGTCAGCGGATCGGCCTGTGCGCGAGCCCGGCGGTGGGCGGGACAGCGGGACCGGCTGGAGGAACAGCGCTGGCTCCCTGTGGCTCCGTGCGATGGGGCCTGGGGCTGAGGGTGGGCCGTGGAGGAGGGAGGCGGGAGCCCCACGGGGTGCTGAGGCTGCTAGCGGGGAGCCGTCAGGCCACGCTTTCAGGGGTTCGCCCTGTCACTTCCACGGGCATCATTCTCTCTCCGTCTCCCTCCCCGGCCAGGCCACAGACCCTGCTACCGGCCTCCAGGGTCCACAGGAGGACGGACCCCGGGGAAGTCAGGCTCCCCGCCATGCCCGAGCCCGTCCTGGCGGCAGGGGCCAACCACCCACGCGCCCAGAAACAGTCAGGCTTTTGTCCACAGACTCTGCTGAAGCTGTTTCCTCCCCTCGGGCAAACCAAGCCCCGATCGACTTCTCCACGGGTCCGTACTCAGGCGATGCCTTTCCTGACTCCCTCAGATCATACTAACCACTCATCCTTCAGGACGCCCACCACCCCGCCCACCACGAGCTAACACACCTCTTCGTGGCCCTGGAAGACCATACGCCATCGAGAGCACTGTGGGTGTAGACCAAGAGGTCTCTAAAGCAGGAGCTGTGTCTTTATGGCCCACACAGCACAGGGACCAACACCACGCAGAACCTGACACCACACAGGACTCAGAAAATGAGGGCTCAGGAGCGTGAGTGGATGGGCGGATGGGCGGATGGGTGGATAGATGGATGGATGGATGGATGGATGGATGGATGGATGGATGGATGGATGGATGGATGGATGGATGGATATATGAGTG